TCTATGCTCTGTTGTTATTCTTCAGGCTGAAAAATTGTCAATTTTTTCCTAGGTACTAAATGCTGATTTTTTTGTAATGTTTCATTTATGTATTAATTTATGTATTAATTCTGAAGAAAAAAAACTTGCACACACAGTAAATTAAAATTTTAACTTTTGTAAGAACAATTACTTTCTTATACTAATTTTACTGGATTTTTTCATTTTTTTATTAGTTGCACATGACAATACAATGATCTTGACATGTCATACATTTGAATCCAAATGGGTATAATTTCTCATTTTTCTGAGTGTACAGGTTGCAGAATCACATTGGTTATACAGACATGTATATACATACAGCAATACTAGTGTCTACTTTATTCTGCTGCCCTTCCTATCCCTCCTCCCCCTCCTTATTCCCCCCTACTCTCCCCTCCCATACTTCTCTCTACCCAATCTAATGTGACACATTTCTTTTTTCCCCCTCACATCATCCTACGTGTATTTTGTATAATGATGAGGGTGTCTTTCCATCTTCCGTGCAATTCCCCTTCTCCCTCCCTTTCCCTCCTACCTCTCTTCCTTATCTAGAGGCAATTTTCTTCTCATGCTCTTCCTCCGTACCACATTTTGAGTCACCCCCCTTATATCAAAGAAGACATTCAGCATTTGTTTTTTAGGGATTAGCTAACTTCACTTAGCATAATCTGCTCTAATGCCATCCATTTCCCTGCAAATGCCATGATTTTGTTATTTTTTAGTGCTGAGTAATATTCCATTGTGTATAAATGCCACTTTTTTTATCCATTCATCTATTGAAGGGCATCTAGGTTGGTTCCACAGTCTAGCTATTGTGAATTGTGCTGCTATGAACATTGATGTAGCTGTGTCCGTGTAGTATGCTCTTTTTAGGTCTTTTGGGTATAGTCCGAGAAGAGGAATAGCTGGGTCAAATGGTGGTTCCATTCCCAGCTTTCCAAGGAATCTCCATACTGATTTCCAAATTGGCTGCACCAATTTGCAGTCCCACCAGCAATGTAAAGTGTACCTTTTTCCCCACATCCTCGCCAGCACTTGTTATTGTTTGACTTCATAATTTCAAAATGAAATTGAATCCCTTTCTCTCACCATGCACAAAAGTTAACTCAAAATGGATCAAGGAGCTAGGAATCAAACCAGAGACTCTATGTCTAATAGAAGAAAAAGTTGGCCCTAATTTCCATCTCATGGGGTCGGGCTCCAAATTCCTTAATAGGACACCTATAGCACAAGAGTTAAAATCAAGAATCAACAAATGGGATGTATTCGAACTAAAAAGTTTTTTTCTCAGTAAGAGAAATAATAAGTGAGGTAAATAGGGAGCCTACAACCTGGGAACAAATTTTTACTCCTCACACTTCAGATAGAGCTCTAATCTCCAGAGTATATAAAGAACTCAAAAAAATTAAATAACAAAAAAACAAGTAACCCAATCAACAAATGGGCCAAGGATCTGAACAGACACTTCTCAGAGGAGGATATACAATCAATCAACAATTACATGAAAAAATGCTCACCATCTCTAGCAATCAGAGACATGCAAATTAAAACTACTCTAAGATACCATCTCACTCCAGTTAGAATGGCAGCCATTATGAAGTCAAACTTGCTGATATTTTTAAGCTATCCCTCCTAACCCACATATTTTTTATGGCCACCCAAATATTCATCAGTTAAATTTTTATATTTTGGGATAGAATTCATATTATACTCCAATTAGCCTGGGTTATTTATTTATTAAATGTATTTATTAAAAGCAACAACAGTGTAAAGTAAAAACTGTTCAACTTCATTGTTAGAATATATAATATAGCTAATGAGTATCTGAGATCTCAAAGGATTTGGGCTAAAAACTACACCATTTATACATCCCACTATAGTCCTTTTAAATTAAATTCTAAATGTTATTAAGTAGCTATTTTCTCTAGCATGGAATATAAGCACCCTTCCATTATTTGAACAGTAGAAGAAGCTAATTAGTAAAATATGTAAAATTCAAAATAGTGAAATATAAGAAAAATGTTTTACCTTGTAATTATTTTCAACAATGCCTTTTACTTTTTTGAACTTATTGTGCTTATTAAATTAGGTTGCAGATCCCATGTGTGCAATATATGACAGCAGGAAGGAGTGGTTGAAAGTACAATTATAAAACTAAACATAATAAAAAATGTAATAATAAAAACAGGATAAGTCCCCAAAGGACACTTGAAAACTAACTGTAAATTATTATTCATTGTAACAGAAAATGAAAAACTCTTATTTGAACCAGGTCAGGGGAAAAACAAATTTGGGGTACTAAAAGTGCCCTGAAAATTATGAGTAAAATTAAGAGATTGAACTATAATAGAAAGGATGATCAAAATGGATATAGAGACTTCTGAAAGCTGAAAGTACTCTCATCTTGCCTTATTTTTGAGCATACAAATAATTTCACTTAAATCACTCTGAAATTAAGAAGTGAGAAAGTAAGAGAAATTAAGGCAGAGTGATTTAAGTGACATTATTTGAAATTTGGCAGAAATAGAACTAGAATCCAGTTCCATCGGCCTTTGGTATTCTAATTTCTTTTAAACCATATATTCTCCTACATTTTTGTAATCCTTTGATATTTACCATATATTCTGGATACATTTTTATGTTCCCTCATTTCATTAATACTACATGTCCTGTTTAATACATCATCCTATAATTATTGCTGATTTTTTTTTTTTTTGCAGTCTTGGGGATTGAGCCCAGCACCATTATAACAGCTATGTTCCCCACCCACTTTACTGAGCTCTTATTTTAATCCTCATATTAATTTTGTAAAGTACAACTGTCATTTAATAGACAAGAAAGCTGTGACCATGATTTCATTGGCTTACTTTCTCAATCACTGCAGCATGTTGATTGGTGGCCCTCCAATAGATGCCATGCCCTGACTCCTGGAACCTGTGACTGTGGCCTTATTTGGAAAAGGGTCTTCACCGTTGTAGTTAAAGATCTTGAAACAAGGATGATCTTGGATTTTCCGGGTTGGCCCTAACGTCACTTATAAGGTTCAAAGTCAGAACAGCAGGAGACATAAGCTCAGAGGCTATGTAAAGATGGAGGCAGATACTGAAGTGACATGATCACAAGTCAAAGAATTGAAGCCACCAGAAACTGGTAAAGAATAATTCTCCCCCAGAGCCCTAGGAAAGAGCAGACTTTGGACTCCTAGTCTCCAGAACTGTAAGGGGATAAATTTCTGTTGCTTGAGCTGTGCAGCTTGTAGTAATGTGTTACAGCAGCCCTGAGAAACCAATGCAATTATCTTTTGTATTGCCATTGTCTCAGAACAGAAAGGGCCTCTTTACTGTCTTTCCATTTTGTGTTTTTGTTTATTTTTATTTTTTGTGATGCTGGTGATTGAACCCAGGTACAATACTAAGCAAAGGCTTTACTGCCGAGCCACATCCCTGGGCTGACCACCCCATATTTTAACTTATGAGAAAGACCTAACCACATTTCTCTCTGTGTGTTCCATGAAGGCACCCTCTGCAGCCAGTTCCTTACCATGAAATGTTTCCCTGAATGATGTGTCTAATAATAGTTCTTTTCTTCTACAATTCAGAATCGCTGCTTTTATCCTCTTTCAAAGCAATGGCAACCCATGCTTTTTGCAGTTAAAATAATATATGCCTTTCCCCTATTCCCAGCATATTTTACACACTAATTAAATTAGTACAAATAACATGAAACCTATTTGCACTTGAAAATGCAACTTATTCTTATATTACTACTCTGAAAACTTCCTAACACTTTAATCCAGGAAATAATTGATGTTGTACGTGAACATACATTTAACACATGCTGTGAACATTTTTTTTAAAACTATACTTGGTGTTTCAAATAGTCCATGGCTCCTTTTTATTGATTTATTCTGATTGAAAATTATTTATTATCCTATTTAACATTATGCTGAATTATCTCTTTGTCCCTCCACATCTGTCTACTCTTCATACTCTCTATCCTGCAGAGGGTTCTCATGATGATAAGAATCATCCGGAATTTCACCCATACTTGACTTAGATTATTTAGATGATAAGATTTAGGACTTTGGAGTTTATGATATTTAAATTAGATTTTGGATCTTATCCACGGCACACAGATCAGTTGTGTCCCCTTCTGTCCTCTTGTTGAGCCTGAATTCAGTAGGTTAGAGGCACTGTCAGGAGAGAGAGGTCAGGGTATTTGTTCCTTCTTTTCTCTCCCTGCAGGACTGAAGGGCATTCAATGGCTGTGCTCCTCTGCCCAGGGACATCACCTGGACAGTTGGAGACCCCCAACCCTATGTGTTGACATTGTTTCGAGAGAGGATGCCTTTATGGCACACAGACAGAGAAAACTTGGTTAGGCCTGTCTCATAAGTTAAAATATGGGACGGTCAGCCCAGGGATGTGGCTCCGTGGTAAAGCATTTGCCTAGTGTTGTCCCTGGGTTCAGTCACCAGCATCACAAAAATAAAAAGGTGCTGCTAGCCCTTTCTGCTCTTCCAGCCTTGGGTGGTGGAACTGCATCTCCCTATCAACAGAACCTGGTACTTCCTAGCACTGTTTATTCTATTTGTTCTGTCCACGCTGCCACAGTCTTTTCAATAAACTCTTCTAGTGACCCCTTTGGGTGTGTTGTCTGTCTCCTGCCTGACCATCACTGCAACAGCATTTGAGTATCCTCTGACAGCATCAACCTACACACTGAATACATATTTCTCACTGAATAAGATTATTCTGGGTTTACCAAACCCTTACCAACTTCAGAGAATTATGACTGGTTGTGACAATTATGGGTCTTTTTCTCCTCTAAAAGTAACAAAAACAAAAGGCGGTAGCATAGGATAATTTTGTTCCTCTTGGGCACTTTGAAATAGTAGCTTGATAAACAATAGCAATAACAAATTTAATTTTGATTAATAACTGGATTCTTATCACTGAATGATTTTGGTTTCAAAATACCTGTCATCTCCATCAATGATGCATTCAGGGAAGGCGAGGCTACAGCCAAATAACATGATGTGCTGGTAGCAATTGAGACGATGGAGGTACGTGAAGAACTTGATGAACTTCTCCATTTTCATGTTATTGATAACTGAGATGAGAGGTGTCATTGTGTTATGATAAGGCAGCATCTGACATTGGCTGTGGGTGATGTTCATGCAGGCACCTGAGAAGTGGAGATAATTATATTTAGAAGTAGACACATCAGAAATACATGTTTACAAATTGATTTGTTGTGACAGGTTACTGTGCTCAAAAGAAAAAGTATATTCTACAAATAATTATTATAGTAAAAATTGTTATAGATAGAATACCATGTACACATATAAGTATGTGTAGTATATAGATATGATATGGAATCAACCTATTAATATTGATAGAAGTAGAGCAATTATTTCCTGGGCAAATAGCTGTGGGATCACAGCTGGCCAGGACAAAAATCTATCAAACAAATTTTAAACATGCTTATCTGATGACACTACAATATCATTTCTAGAAACTCACCCTAAGTAAATCATCATGTAGATTTATCTGCAGGATCTTCATCTCTGCATAGTTTACTATTTTTAAAGAGAGAAATCTATCTAAATATTCAACAAATGGAATTGGTTTAAAACATTATGGAATGAACAACAATATTTTATGAAATATAAATGCTTTAGAAGAATAACTATACACAGTGATGCTCATAATGTCATGAATAAAATCAGCAAGTCACAAAACCATCTGTATACCGTGATCTTGTTTCTGAAAACACACAATTATACAAGGATTTGCAATCCTCCCTATATCACAATTCAGGATCAGCTCAGAGCCTCTGACTTCATTTTCTTACATAGCCAGTTCTTCTGAGCACAATAACAGTCATGGACTTTCCATTTCTTTCATTCCAGAAACTCACCTGGTGGATCCAATATAAACTAAAATGTTGACATGGGTCTCTGGGATGGAATTTTAGGAGCCTTATATTTTTCTTTAATTCTAGAGTCTCTTATTGATTCATATGAAGATGTATTGCTTTTATTTTTTTCCAAATGATATAATCAAAATTAAATTTGTTATTGCTTTTGTTTATCAAGCTACTATTTAAACACAGAATCTTTAGGCTTTAAACATACAGTCAAAGAATTAATCATATTTTGAGGGAGGGAAAAATTAGAAGGGAAAGTTCAATAAGAATGGGAACAACTCTTCTGATTGCTCAGAGAGAACTTGAAGAAAATGTTCTCTCCAAACATAAGGCTAACTCCACTTTAATAAAAACAATATTGAAAATAAGGTGGTATCTTTGATAATATGGCCAAACATGTACATCTGTAAGACAAAATAAATGCTGTCCAAAATAGCAGGATTTCCTTCCCTTTCTGCCTCACTCATTCAAACAGGTCACTTTACAGTCTACTTCTGACCCTTTCCTTATCTACTAGGTCTTCTACTATACAACATTTCCAATCTCACTTTTCTTTCACACTGCTCCAAAAACCTTTAAAGACCTGTAGGAAGTCTTTCCCCTGAATGACCAAATTGTAGCCATCAGATCAAAGAGTCTCATACTTCATGAAAAGATACAATTCCCCATTGTTGGATAATTTTCATTGATCACCCACAAAGTGTTGAGCTCAGTGGGACAAGATCAAAACATGGTTTCCACTTTCAAAGGCAAAACCAATGACATGTGGAATTTTTCTCTGCACCAGATCTTAGACAAGACAAAGCAAAGAACTTAGGGACAAGACCCTTTCTTGTACCTCACCAAATTCAAAATATAAAATGAGACAAAAGAAAATTACAAGGAAATTTTCAAATGAAAATAACACAAATAGACAGAGGTATACATAAATTCAGTTTACCATAAGGGCTGAGGTAGAGTAATCTGGGCAGGTTTCATGAAGATGATGCTCAAATTGTTCAGAAAGGAAAGTTAAGCAGATGTCAGTGTGAAAGAGCATTATGGGCCGAGAAGAGGATACACAGGCAGCAGACTCAAAAATGCCACACTGTGTACACTGTGCTACAAAAACAGAAGTTTGCTTATAAGACACAAAAGTAAGTTTTTCTCTATTAAAAGCATGCACTCATTTTCATAAAATCAGACTTGAAAAGACATTTATTGAAAATCAACCTTGTGCCGGGCACCAAAACAGGCACTCAGATTCTCTCGTTCACAATTATCTTAATTTCACAATTCAGTGAAGTGATATTATATTGATGTTATACATGAGAAAACTCAATTTCAGAAAACCGCCTGGGGGTACTTAGCTATCAAGAGCAAATTCTAGAAATAAAAACCTCTGTCTTCTGAGTAACTTACATCTGGAGGCAACAAGCTAATGTAAAGAGCGTGATTATTTTACAAATAGTTTTTAAAGAGGATAATTATTAATGGCCCATGAAAGGAAGAGGCTAAAATTCATATAATATCACAAGGTTGGTGTATGAGTTCATTTTCTGTTTCTAATAATACAATCCCACAGACCGGGTAATTGGAAAGAAGATAGCTTTGGCTTATGGTTCTAGAGATGCAAGAGTGAGGGGCCACATTGGGTAAGAGCATTCTTGCTGGTGGGAAACTGCAGAGTTCTGGGACAGCTTGGAGCATCATGTGGCAGAACAGCTTGTGAGCTCAGGGCTTTCTTCCTCTTCCTATGTAGCCACTATTTGCATCATGGGAACCTCACATAGCCTCATTTAATCCTTAATACCTTCTGAAGGCCTCACCTTCATATACCATTAGAATATGACTTTGAGGGTCCAGTTTCCAATACATGAAATTTGAGGGACACATGCAAACCACACAGTGTATCTATATTAATATGTAATATGCCCATATATACTCTACATAATTTGTTTTAATGACATTGTTTTCTTTAGAAATTATCAATTTTAAAATCTGTACACTTGAGCCCAGATCACATTTGAAGCAATTAGATGACCCCAAGCTCATGCTCCTCACCTAGACAAAAGAAAACATTGAATACTGATAGATCATTTGAAAAACACAAGATAGAAAAATTATAATTTGGTCAGCTACAATACATCCATGGCACTATGAATTGCACAAAAGGAAAAAAAATATTTCCCTCTATATTTCTCTCTAATAGCTAATTTCCCTGGGAAGAGAGAATCTATACTCAGGAAAAGTAATATAAAATCCTAAATCTCAGAAGTCTTAAAATAATTGGTAAAAGACAAATAATAATGTGTTATATTTGTGTAATGGTTTTCCAAAGTATGATCAAATTATAAATTTTAATCCTAAGAATATAACACATATTTTCTCATAATACATAAAGAAACTAATGCTCTTATAGGTAGGTAGAAAGACAATGGATGGAGAGAAAAATGGATGAGCAAACAAATACCTAAACAGACCAAAAAAAAGTGATTTAAGAGAAACACAAGGTCAACAGCAGAAGTGAGACTGTTGTTCAGGTCCTCATAACATTCTTCTTCCTCAACCACAGTTGTCAATAGCACAGCAAACACTGAAGAAATCCCCAAGAGCAGAATTTAATGCTGGGTAGATGATGAAGAAAGATTAAATAAAAAAGAAGAACTCATTTTGTTGTTGAAAATTTTAAAAGGTCTGGATTAGCAGAGGTATATAAAAGGAGAAAAATAAAAATTTAAAGATTGAGAATAAACGCATGTAACAAAGAAAGATTATAAAATTTCAGTCTGGGCTGAAGTGTTCACCAAACTTACCTAATAATTTGCTCATAGCCAACAAATATAAAAGAGAATTACTTCTAAGACTCTGGACTTCAAACTTTTTATATTCAGGTAATTATGTCAGTATCGTATTACCCCTCTCACTCAGCATGTGGGTCAAATTATTTTTTCCTAGAACATTCCATTGTATTTGAGACATGTAATTCTGCTATTGTATGTAGATACATTCTTACCAGAAGAAATGAGTTTCACAAGCCAGCTACATGCTGTGCACCATGGAAAGTCACTTCTCCCTGAGGAAGGGGAAGGCACTATTGAAAATAGGCTCATTTGCTGTTGTTTCTCAATCAAACTTTGTTTTCTTAGGGACGAAGAAACAAGGGGATCATTTTTCTTCACTAAGAACTTACTACTGAGTCTAATAGAAATTAGAGAGCAGGGCTGATATACAAGAAGATGTATAACTAACCAAAATGTTCCTATAGACATCATTATTTAATGAACCGTTCTAAAGAACAGTTACGCCAAGTTGGGAACTAGATAAGAGAATCTAAAAACAGGTCTGGAAAACAAAATTGCTTCTTTGATGCAATATACTTTTGGTTAGTTCTAGTCTGGTCTGGTTTGGACTGGTTTTCAATGCTGGGGGTCAAACCCAGGACCTCCTCATGTGTGCTAGGCAAGCACTGCATTACTGAGCCACATCCCCAGACACCAATGCAGTGTACTTCTAGTAAGATAGAAATATTTATTCTTATTAGTGACTCAATTCTAAAGCTCCATTGCTAGTAAGACATGATTTAATCACAAATTTTCACAGTACTCATTGATAAAAAGACAGGTCTACAATTTGAGAAAAAAAAATACAAAAACAAAGTGCTGCTGAAAGTTGTTTTAGTGATTTATTTTGTTTTGTTTTCATAACCTGACTCGATGGCTTTCTGGATGAAATTTAGACTTTCCCTGCTCATACTTCATTGTGAATACTTCTAGATACTAGAATCAGGAAGCAAAGATGGGCCTTTGTAGGAATTTTCCTTATGCTCAATTGGAAATTATGATGTTTTGTTCTAACTTTTAGAATTAAATAATATGAATTTTTTAAAATCTTACTAATTTTAAAAGCAGAATTAAGACTAGTTAACTTTTCGAAACTAACATAGACTTCATCAACAGTCCTGAGTAATCTTAAATGATGATCCCCATAACTAGACAGGCCTAGGGTGGGGATGCAGATCCTCTTACTAGACATTTCTGCACTGAGTTTTTATATTAATGATTTTTGTTACTCACATTCTCTATTTTTCTTAATTACAAACGATCTCACTTTAAATCTGTGCAATATGGCAAATATTGAATTGCATAGCATTTATTTCAACAGAGGGGTTTTTAATTTCTTAAAATCAAATAAAATATTGCTTTTTAAATATAAGCAAAACTCTATCTAAACCATAATGATTAGAATACATAGTAGCATTATTTGATAGAAAAGAA